TCGACCGTTTAGAGAGAAGCAAGAGGAAAAAGAAAGAAGAGAGAGAGAAGGGAGAAGCTTTCTGTCAAAAAATAGAGGGAAGAGCCTTATATACCCTCCCAAAACGACGTCGTTTTTGCTTTAAGTGACCTAGAGGATCCGCGTGTTTTGTCGAAATCTGACACGACCCGAGCGTCGACCTGCTTCCTGACCCACGCATGTCTTCCCCCCTCTGAGCCAATAGCCGAGCCGAGCCGAGGTCCCAAGCTGCTTCTCCGAGCCGTTTCTCTTCCTTGAGCCGAGCCGAACCGTACTCCGAGCCGCTCCAGGTTTTTTTTTTCTTTTTTTTTAATTTATTTATTTATTTGTTTATTTATTTATTTTATTAGATTAGGTTTATTTAATATTCTTTTTATCTTTATTTTATTTTTATTTTTGTTTTACTTTTCTTTATTTTTTTATTTTTATTTATTTTCACTTTTATTTTGTTTTATTATTCTATTTTCTTTAAATAAAAATAAAAAATATATATTTTTGGGAAAAAGTTGAAAGTATCAATTTTTCTTAAAAATAAATTTTTTAAAAAATAAATTTTTAAAAAAATAAATTTTTGAGAAAAAGTTGAAAGTATCAATTTTCCTTTAAAATCAAAGTTTTCAAAAAAATATTTTTGAGGAAAAGTTGAAAGTATCAATTTTCCTTAAAAATAAAATTAAAAAAAAAAGAGTTTTTGAAGAAAGTTGAAAGTATAAATTTTTCTTGAAAATCAAAGTTTTCAAAAAATATTTTTGGGGAAAAGTTGAAAGTATCAATTTTCCTTAAAATAAAATTTCAAAAAAAGGTTTTTGAGGAAAAGTTGAAAGTATCAATATCAATTTTTCTTTAAAATAAAATTTCAAAAAAGGTTTTTGAGGAAAAGTTGAAAGTATCAATTTTCCTTGAAAATCAAAGTTTTCAAAAAATATTTTTAGGGAAAAGTTGAAAGTATCAATTTTTCTCGAAATTAAAATTTTAAAAGAATATTTTTAGGGAAAAATTGAAAGTATCAATTTTCTCTGCACAAAAACAATCATTCTTTTCTTTCTTTTTATTTTTTTTAAATGTTAAATAATCCGACGACGGAGCCTCTACAAGTGAAACAGTAATTTTTCTTGCATACTCTTGAAGTGAGAGAATTTTCTCAATTTTCTGCTAAAAGTATTAGAGTCAATTGAGAATAATTTCCAATAATTAATTACTCGGTAAAATTTTAAGGCTCATTGGAAAACACAAATTTCAGCTGGTACCATCTTTTGATGGGCGTTATGAGGGTGCTATAACCTTCCTCATACGTAACCGAATTTTCGAACCCTGTTATGGTTAGTAGACCTGAACCTATTCTTTTAGGGACCCTTAAATTTAGGTGTTCCCTGAAAGGACAGATTCCTTAGGTGGCCAATCACACCTAGATAAAAAAGATTGGTGGCGACTCCCTTAAGTCAATGTCTAGCAATAGATCTCCGGATCTAGACGTTATGACACTTATTGGAATCTTTTTTTTTTATAATTTGATTCTTTAATTTGATTTACAAAATTTGATTCTTAAAATTTTTTAAGATCTCTAATAATGTAAAAAAAGGAAGGCGATGATCCTAAATCAGAAACCGACATCTCCCTAAGATTTTTTTAATATTACTAACAGAATGTGAAATTTGTTTCATTTTTACCCTCAATAATAATTTTTTACGGTTTATTTTACTTTTAAAAATCAACATAATTGCATAATAAATAGAGGCTCATTTTAACACCCAAAGCCAAAATTTTTCATTTACACAATATTGTTATATTAGTAACATAGTCATATGCAATAATATGCTATGAAAAATTAATTATAATAAAAACAATGTTTTTAAAAGAAAAATGTAGTTAATTGTTGAAAAATATAAATTTTGAATTTTTTATAATTTCAAAAACACTATATTTTTAACATATAAAACGTAATTTATCATATAAAATAATATTTTTTAAGATAAAAAAATATCAATCTTTGTTGAAACTATAAAAAATATTTTCTAAAATTCAACAAAAATAATGTTGTAAGATAGAAAAAACAGTCTTTATTAAAAATATGAAAAAAATATTTTTTAGAATTTAAGAAAGATTATACTTTTAAGATAGATGACGTTTCAATATTATGAATATCATGTGTTATTCACATATTATAAAAAATAATATAATAAAAGACTATTAGGTAATTTTATATTTTTAAGAACCAAACACAAAAATCTTAAATTCTCCGAATCAATAAAAACCTAAAAATCACACAATAATACTAATATCATTTTCTTCCTACATAAGTTTTCCTTCAAAAATCTAAAAATTCACAAATTAAAGTCCCCTTATTAATTATTATAAATTAACAAGTGGCACGTTACTTTGGATATATAAAACGAAAAAGCAAAAAACTCAAAAGTCCCAAATTCCCTTGATCACAATGGCTCAAAACCCAATAAAAAAAAAGACCAATTAATAACTTGAAAATGCTCAAAGAAGAAGAATTAAGCTGCTTTATTATTTTCAAAATCCCATCCAAATCTCTCTTGAACCTTTGATTCAATCTACTTCAAATTTAAGTAAGCAAATTAAATCTTCAATGCCCATCATTGTTAAATAATATAATGCACTATATATTTCATAATAAAATGTCCAAATAAAATTTTCTTAAAATAGTTCTTTTTATCAATTATGAACATTACTTTTTAAACTATTGATTTTTATAAAAAGATACTATCTTATATTATTATGTTAAACTAATTAACTGGCCGTTACGCTATGAATGAATATTTTGTGATAATAAAATTAATTGATAAATAATAAAAATGATCAAAAGTGAATAATATTTATGAATTCTTTAATTTTATTTTTTGGAATACAAAAGATGATTTCATCGATCATTCATTGATGAAAACATCTGTCACAACAATAATACTAATAACATTTGAATATTCTTCAACCGGAGCATTTTACTTTCAATTTGTTTACTATAATTCCACAATTATTCCATCATAATAAAAAATTATGTAGAGATCCATCGTTTATAAATATAAGCTTCATATAAAATATTGATTAATCTTACATAACTCTAAATTTTAATTAATTAATTATATTACAATCATTATAAGTGATATGTTATCTCCCCAACCCAGTACAAAAGAAGTGATAGTAACTCAGAAAAAAATATTAGACAAATAATATAAAATAAAATAAAACAAAAGTGAACACTAAAATGATATAAAAAATATGATTTATATTTGATATATTACCGGTGTTTAGATAATATACAATATTAGTGCATCATAAGTCACAACATCATTAGTTTGTTTTGAAATAATTAAACATTTAAAAATTTAAAATTTTAACAATATATAATAATTTGTGGTTCACTAATAGTATATATACACTAATAATGCATCAAATACAAATCCCTTAAAAATATATATATATACACACATATGATTTGATATACAGAAATTCTAATATTATTTTACTCAAAGACTTTAAGCACACTATAAATCACATTTAATCCTGCAAAAAGAATAAAATTTTAACATATATATTGGATGAACATAAAGAAACTAAAATAAATGTGAAATGTGAATGTTGACCAATGGGCATAAATAAATGTTCTAGATTTGTAAGGAAAGAAAATTGTTTCATCTAGGGAGCGTAGAATAATAGAGAGCATATTTGGTTGGAAATTTGGTAATGATCAGGACAGCTTGTCCTGCTTAAATTACTATGTTTTTTTTTTTTTTTGGTCAATTAAAATTATTATGTTTGTCATCAAAATTTAATCTCCAAAAATTTTGATCATAAAACTATTTTTAGATTATGATTTTTCTTGTAAAAAAATGGCCTGCGTTGTCTATATTATTTATTTTTAATGGCAAGAAATGATTGGCAAAAGTTTAGGAGTTACGAAGAATATAAATTGCTTTTTTACTGTATGAAGTACAAAGATATTGTAACCAAATCCTGAAAGGCTTCATTGTCGGTTCTATCGCTTTCGTGCTAATCTTCCTTTTAGGTTCTATTTTGTTGTAAGGCTTACTACCTCATCTCATTGTCTCGAAACATGGTTGATTTTGGTTTTTGGGCTCAAGACATTATTAAACCAATGAAATTCTGGAGCAGCTTTATGGATTGGAGGAAGTGAAGTTTGGGTTAGGACAAAGCCCATTTTAGGTTACATACAGTGAAATCCAAACACCCAGCCTAAGGTGACGGGGAAGTGACCAACCATGGATGCAGGCATAGCCTCGTGAGTTGTGAACACTGTTACTTCATTCAACTTTGAATCTTGATGGGCCGCTATTGTCATCTTCTCTTCAACTGAATTAAAGAAAAAAGCTATCAATATCAAAATTAACCTCACCTAGGCATTTTATTTTCATAACTACCTCTCAAATCACTATAAATTCCTAAAGTGATTTGTTCGAAAATTGCAATCAAAATCAGCATGGACTTGCTTTAATTGTATGTATTGATAGTCATATTGGAAAATATTTTTATAAGTAAATAAATAGTTAACAAATGCATAATATAATTTTAAAAAAACTTCTTAGAGACTATTTTTCTTCATTAATTTCTCACTATAATTTTTCTTTCATATCTTTAAAGTTGGATTTTTTATTTTTTGGTGTCAAAAGTGTATAAATTGATTGCACTAAAGATAAACTTTTCTCTAAATTAGTTATTTATTACTAGATATGAAAAGGACAAGAAGGGAAAGAGAGAGAGAATTGAACTCTGAACCTTAATCCTGCTAAGGAGGGTAACAATATTGTTAAAACCTAACTTACGTTGTTATTAAACATGAGATCTAATACAATTAGTTTTTATAATTATTTTTAAAAAATGATATTTAATAAATTTAAAATTTAAATTCTAACAATTAAAATATATTTTTATCATCAAGCTGCATCATCCTTTTTATTAAAAAAAAAAAATTGGCTTAAATTGTTATTAAATTAATTATCTTCTTTGAGCAGGGCATGTAGTGAATGTCGGTTGATCATCATTTGAGGTCTTCCTCAAATAATGTACATTATGAATTACAGGCTTGTAAGAAAAGAAAAACGACATTATTTTGCATAGACATAGGCATAAGTTTTGTGTTGCTAGAAACTAGCAGATGATACAACTCATGCACAAAAAGCTTCATTTTCTGTTATTCTTCACCTCAACATAATTTCATTAATGCCCCATTTCATTTTCCTTTGTTAACATCTCCAACTATATATAACTACATACTTTGGTTAATTTTCATTTCCATGAAAATCATGAACTCGGATATCCTTGATGGAGGAATCCAACAATTCATTCCGATCCACTTTTTATCTTCTCACCCATGGTTTCTATGTTTTAATTGCTTCACTTTTCATACTCCTCTTCAGTTTTCAATTCACTTGCCATGATTTCATTCACAAATATAACCTTATCCATGCTCTTTGCATTTTGGGACTGTTGGGGTTGATTTTGTACATTTATTTCAATTTCACACGCCGTTCTACTTATTTGCTTGACTTTGCTTGTTCTCGTCCACCCAATGACTTCAAGGTAAATTTTTTTTTCTTTACATTCAATTCTTTCGATAATTGATCAGATTTGTAATTTTATTTATTTCTTTCAATGCTATTTTGTATAGATCTCAAAGGAAGAATTTATCAAGCTTGCTAGAAAATCAGGTAACTTCAATGAAAGGGCCATTAAGTTTCAGCAGCGGGCTCTCTACAAATCAGGAATTGGAGATGAAAGCTACATGCCTAAACTAGTTTTCCAACCAGGTCATAAAATAAGCTTAAGGGAGAGTCAAGAAGAGGTGGCAATGCTCATTTTCGGGGCCATTGGCGACCTCCTTGCAGCTACCAAAATTAAACCCAAGGATATTGGAATCCTTGTCACCAACTCTGGAGTCCTTAATACCACCCCATCACTTTCATCCATGGTGATAAATCATTACAAGCTTAAGCACAATATTCAAAGTTTCAACCTTGGAGGAATGGGCTGCGCTGCTGGAATCATAGCTATTGATTTAGCTAGAGATCTTCTGCATGTTTATCCAACCACATATGCACTTGTAGTCAGCACAGAAGCTATCAGCTGTACTTGGTATGCTGGCAACAACATTGGCATGCTTCTTTCCAACTGCTTGTTTCGGATGGGAGCGGCTGCCATGCTGCTTTCAAGCCGTAATCGAGACAGATGGCGGTCCAAGTATGAACTAAAGCAGGTACCTCTATTCCTTACTACTTTTAATGACCGGTGGTGAATTCAGAATTTTTTTCCGAGTATGTTTACTAATGAATAAGGTGTTATCAATTTTGTCATTCCAAAAGGTGTTAGGAAAAAATTTTGAAGTGTCCAAAATTTTTTTTTTCAAATTTTTTTCTTATCAATGGAAAAGTTGTTAGGAAAAATTTTTAAGGTGTCCAAGAAATTTTTTTTTTCAATTTTTTTTCTTTTTCAAATTTTTGTGGTGTTCATGAACACCCTATCCAACATGGATTCGCCTGCGTGAATGACCCATTATTATGTAACTTGATTAAAAGAAAAAAGTTAATTTGAATATGTTTCAGTTGATTAGGAGTCATAAAGGCATGGATCATAGCTGCTTTAAAAGCATATATCTAAATACAGATTCTGAAGATAAGCAAGGTATTTCGATTAGCAAAGATGTGATCGAGGTTGGAAGGCATGCACTCAAGGCCAATATCGCCACCCTTCTCCCTCTTGTTCGTCCAATCTTTGAACAATTCCATTTCTTCACCAATTTACCCTGGAGGAAGAAGATCAAGCCTTACATTATTCCAAACTACAAATTCAGCTTTGAGCACATATGCGTTATAGCTACTAGCAAGAAAGTGCTCGATGAAATGCAGAAACACTTGGGGCTCACCGATGAATACATGGAAGCACCAAGAAAAACCTTGGAACGATTTGGGAACACTTCAAGTAGTAGTATTTGGTATGAGTTGGCTTTCTTGGAGGCTAACACGAAGATAAAAAAAGGTGACAGGGTTTGGCAAATTGCTTTCGGCTCCGGATTTAAGTGTAACAGTGTTGTTTGGAATGCACTTCGGAATGGTGGGATGCCTAAGCAAAGCCCATGGATCGAGAATTCTGTTTAGAAATGGTGATATTATTGAAAATAATTAATAGAAAAGCTTCAAAAATATTTCTTACACAACGATAATATGTTTGTGAATGACAGCAAAATTAGCAATGAAATACTATAAATTAGCAATAAAAAAGGTTGTGAGGGATAGCATTAGAGAATGAATTAACACACACAACGAATATAACTTTCATTGATGAAGTAAAACACACAAATTGTATAAGATAAAGGATATTTACATGCCCAAAAAAGATATTTACAATTTTAAATTACAAGATTAACATATTTGAAAATGTTGTCTTGTTTTAGTAAGAATCAATGTTAGCAAATAAAAGCGCACGAGATTGCAATAAATAGTTGCTACAAATATAGCAGAACAGATCAAACAACAAAGACAAAAGCGATAAGTAGTAGAGTTTAAAGGAAGTCTTTTTTTTTTTTTAAATTGTTTTTCTTATAATGTTTGAGCAGTTGTTACATGCATAAACTAGAACCATACCTCCGCTTTGTCGCGGGACTTTTATTTTTTTTAAAATTATTTTTTATTATTTTTAATGTAAATCTAACTGATGAAGTATGAAAAAAATCTACATATATAAGATGCTGATCTCAATGGAAATTAAAAAACAAAAATGAAGAAAAGATCTAATCTATAATTTGAATACTCACAAAAAATTAAAATAATTAAATTTAAAAAATACACAGTATAATATATCTAAAAAAATAAAAGAGTAATACCTATTCATTATCACTATCTACAGTATGACCATTTAAGCATACAATCTTTATTCATTGTCACTCTCTATAGTGTGACTATTGAAGCATATAACATCTGTCAGACCTACAATTTACATATGCAAAGTTCAACAAAAACCATACAATTTCAACTTAAATCACTTTGTTAACCAAAAAAAAAAAAATCAACCATAAAAATTTTGAATTTGACTTAAAATAGAATAAGGAGACTTAGATTTCAAAAAATGTGAATTTACATATATGAAATCATGAAGTAAAATTTAATATATATATATATATATATATATATAAATTTTACCTTAAATCACCTGATCAACCTAAAAGGCAGCCTTGAAAATGTCGAATTCAATTTAAACAGGGAAAAAAGTATAACTGTAAACTTATATTTAGAGGATAAAGAATTGACACATATGATATGAAACACATGTTTAAGAAATCAAAATGACTAAATTTAATAATGTGTTTTGCGCTGGCATGTGGGTCTATGACTTTAGTTTTTTTTCTTTTTTAGTTTTCCCAATTCTAAGTAAATTAACTTACTGGTTGATCCTTTAGTGTTCTTGTATTTGATTCATTGTCACTGCTTTCATGTACACAAACCATTTCAGTTTATCCAAGGCATTTTTCATTTCTTTGTAGATAGGGAAAGAAAACAATTAGTCTATGACTTATTTATTCCATGATATAACAGATCTAAACTTAAAGCACTCATATTTTAATTTTGATGTTTTCTCCTTGAGTTTCCACCTTGGAATCTTAGAAAAGTTATTGTTTTTTTTCAATGGTGCTTGAAGATGCTTTTTCTCCAAGTTTGCTTTCTTTAAAATTCCTCTTTCCTAAATAGCTAGTGAATAATCAAATAACATGGAAACTTTTTTGCTTTTTGTTTGTAGTATTATCTAAATAAACAATTTGCATATATTAGCTTTAAGCTACAAAGGCTTGGATATGTGAGCTGAGGTTTTTTTTGTTTTATCCCCTATGCACCATTGACTGCAAATGTGAAGTTTTCTTTCAATGAGTTAGTCATTGGTATAGTAACTTGCATAATCATGAACATATATTGAAAATGACATAGTGGCAAACAATTAAGAAAAAGATATTAAACAAAAAGTATGATTCCTATGAATGGTATACCTTTTAAATGCTTTTAGAAGCCTCATGCTTCCCAAGAACATCTTTTTTCACCAACTTGACTGTGGCACAGTTCAATTTTTAGCAATTAATTGTCACTAAATTCAATGGTGAATGCAAATAATTAAATCAATAACAAACAAAAGCATAAGCAACATGTCATGTATTACATACTTGTTTTTATAAGATATTGATGCATTTTCCTTATTGTTAGTTTCCATGACTTTGCTTTCAATTACTTTAATGTGCTATGCCAAAGCATTTTCCATGTCATAACTTTTTGTGGCTTAACGGTTTCCTTGTCCTTAAAACATGGTTCAATGTTCGCTGTATGGTTGATCTTTTCATTAATTTCATTCTACCAACCATATTGGAATTTAGAAACATCATCATCCCCAAAATTCATCCTTTTTGAGTTCAAAATGGAGGCCATGTTATTTGTAGAAACCTAATTTTATCCAAAACAATTTAACATTATTAATCCGGATTCATTTTTACATCATGGTCTGAGATATTTATTTATTAAATCTATCGTATAATTCATTTTACGAAGTCCCGAAATGGAGATCAAAATTGATAATTTAAGGTGGCTCATTTTCTAGCCCAATTAAAAGTGTAAGATAATCATAAAAAAAGGTTCGAAATTAAACAAAAAAAAACCGATTAAGGGGCCCATTTGCAACTTAAGAAAAGGCCTAATTGTAGGCCTAATTCACAACTCAATTATGGTCTATCATAGCCCATTATAAAAGTCCATTTAGAGAACCAAATAGGGCAATAATGCAGCTTATTATTAGGCCCTTTTACAGGAAAAATGAGCACAAATGAATCATTGAGGATGCCCAAAATATGGCTTTTACGAAAAACACATATAACAATAAAGAAAGAAAAGGAAAAGCTCAAAGGGGCCTGCTCAGTTGATCATAAGAAGAAACAAAGGCACATGGATGAGTTAAAAAGAAAAAAGAGAGGAGACAGGTAGTAAGCTAGCAAGAACTTGGAGCCCAAACTAAAACCAAAAGAAAGAGGAAAATGGACCATTTGGTGTCCTTCACGTAAGTGAATAGATATACACGTGCGGGAGGAACATCCATAAAGAACAAGCTGGTTTGCTAAAGTGGAGGATAGGATGATTACACTTGCAGCAAACAAAAATAACAAGGTTAGTGGCCACTCAGATCAGTGGCAGGGTAGTGGAGAAGAAATAAACAAAAGGCTAAGGCTTTGTGAAGGAGGGAGGAATGAGTTTCTAGAATGAACGGGTCGGTTGAGAGTTTAAAAGGAGAAGGCTTCTAAAGAAAGGGGAGGGTTTTTGAAGGCTTGGGGGTTGAGGTTTTTTTGGAGAAAAAGGTGAAAAGCTATTTTAAAAAAAAAACAAAAAAAGTCATCAAAAAGCAAAAAGAAAAGGGTTTTCGGGGAAACCTAGAACACATAAAAAAAGTGAAAAAAGAGACCAGAACCCAGTGAAAAAGGTGAGAAAAACTCCTAGGAGACTAACGGGACAAAAGGAAAGACCAAAATGAAGAAAAAGAGAAAAAATAGAAAACGAGATGAAGGGTTTGAAATCAGCTAGGGATACAGAAATGAAAAAGGTTTTTGTTCTTTCTTTAAAACCAAGCCATAAATTATAACGAAAAGGTAACTCTCCCCATTTTCTTTCCCATGAATGCTTGAATCTTGCTTCTTTCCTTCATCTTGGTTTTTTGTTTGGTGTTATTCTATTCATGTTGGTCACCATATGGAGGGTTTGCATATTTTCTTCTTACTTCTGATATATTGAGGATTGCCATGAAGTTTGCTTTTGTTTTCCCAGTCTCAGTTGTTGCAGAAAAAGGATGATTCCTTTCTGTTCGCACTTTGTCACAAAAAATGCATAATGCATTTTAAATAGTTACAAGAGTCCCTGGCTTCGCAGCTCCATTTTTCAGTTTTGATGATATTTCATGCATTGAAAGAAAAACTTCTTTTATAAACCATGAAACAGCTTCCAAACTAAAAAACGCAGAAGGGGTTTTCTTAAGAGATTGTCCTTTTTAGATTGTATAAGACTTACAGAAGCCTAAAGTAATATGAGTTGTTTGCCTATTAGTTATTTGCTTCTTTATTTTCATATGTGGACTATGCACAAAATGGGGTTCAAAGTTTTTATCTTTAGTATTTATGATTCTTTTTTTTTTTTTTTGCATGGAGTATAAGTTTGGCTGCTAGTTCAATGTATGCTTGAATATTTAAGCTTTAAACTTTCTCTGTTGTTGGCTGTAAGAGTATGAGTTGTTTGTGATTTGTATTATGGGTTGTGGTGAAAACCTATTTGTATGAAAACTATAGGGAGTTTTAAAAGTTCATTTGTTTTTGGTACGGATTGTGGCAGCCAGTACAGATAGGTTCTATTAGAATCCAGAAAGTTTAAGAATGTTAGGTATTTTACAAAACAAAAACGATGGGACTTGAAACATCAATGAGTGTTGTATTATTATATCCGCTTTTCCTCATTGTTTTTTTTTTTAATATAAAATGGAAAGGAGTGGTAGTATTAAAAAAAATGGTAGGTAAAAGTGTTTCATTTGCATAGTGGTTATTTGTAAGAATGGGGAGCTTTACCCGTTTATTATCCCGTTGCATGTGGAACATTTACAAGGAGGAAGAAAATTCAAACGTTGCTTTTAGTGGAAAATATTGCCATACTTTTTGTCTGGAGGTTGATAAGCCTTGATTATGAACGGTCTAGCAAACCTTTAAGTCCCATGCATATTCTTTTTGTGTTTTTAAATGAATCATTTTTTTGAAGAACTTCATACATTGATTAATTTCCGTGGTTGATTGGATTCCCATATTTAATTTAAGTTGATGAAATCTATTATGTAATTTGATGTAGTTTATTCTTTTATGTTTTAATTATTGAGATGCGCTTTGTTTTTAATACAGTTTAGATTCATATAAAATAAATTAATAATAAAAAAGAAAATTTCCAAGGACGAGATTTCAGAGATGTCCAAGTAATGATTCTAAAAAATCTCTAGCTAAGGAATTTTTTTTTTTTAAATATTACCAAAGTAATGGAGTATTTAGGAAAATATTCAATACACAAAAATTTCATTCATTTGTCTTCCTAAAAATATTTTT